TCTTCATGCACGTCGATGTTTTGTGTGGTCGTGGTAGTTAGAACGCAATCTACTGGGCCGTTTCTCATGTTCCTGGAGAATCTCCCAGAATTCCAGGTCCCTTCAGAATCCCTCAGAACCTCAGAAGCTTTCGCAACCTTCCAGAAACTTTCTGAAACGTTTATTTGTCAAGAAAACCTGAAATTCAGATTCTCGGAACATTTTAACTCATTCAAAAAGCTAATCCGGAAACCGGAATCCATCATCCGGAATCCGGAACACAGAATCCGGAGTACATATTCTAAATCCACTACACACAATTCAATAAACATAATCCAGAACCCAAAAAACCGGAATCCGGAATTTTGAATCCGGAAATCTTGATTCCGAAATCGGAAATCCGGATATCTGACATCCGGAATCCGGATATCAGTAACCGTGTATAATGGTCTCTGTGTATGGGAGTCAGAATCTTAAAATTCTTCAAATTCAGGCCTTCAAAAGGTCGTCGCAGAGCTTCAAAACTTCCAAAATCTCACTTTTTCAGAGTGGACTTAAACTTTTGTGGATCGGCCAAAACGTGATTTTCGGAATTTTTCCGGTTTCTCGTTTCCGGATCACGTTCATGGCTCCAAGTTTTTCGTACGTAGGTTTTGCAGGGAGACCTTTATTTTTCATGTTGACACCTTTTTACGAATATTGACCTAAATAGGTGTTTCAGTACAAACTGAGGGTGGAATTAAACTTTTGTGGAGTACTGTAAAATTACGCTGTAATTTGTCCCATCATAGAAGGATAACAAACGAAAAATGCCCAATTTTCAGGATAAATGTCAGCGAGCAAACAAAAAACGAGGAGGTTGACTTTGGCCGTGAGATCCAACGAAGCACCGACGGAATTAAAGCAAACGTCTTCATTTTCCCGACTTGTTTCATTTTCAAAGTCAAAAGAGATGAATGTTGAGAATTATTTCGGAAATTTGAATGGGAGAAATTAATTTTTTGATGTCTTCTTCTGTCTCATTATCGATAGTGTCATTCTCAATGTGTTCATTTTTCCTTCCCCCAATTCTCATTTCCTATCCTTTCGGTTTGGAATCCTGCATAACTATCATTCCGAGTGCACTTCGAAAAAATCTTCTAATTATCATCCCTACAATACATATTAGTTCCGCCCATCCCAGTTACTCATTTATTCATTCTATTTCAAATGAATTCAGAAAACTCTTCGGAATTTATTTTTAGAAACAAACATGGGTTTTAACGTAACAATAGTGAATATCTGCAACACTCGATGAAGTTCGAGAAAAACTGGAAAAAAGTATCGTAGATGTTAAGGAATGGGTTTTTCTCAATCAAATATAATTGCTTGTTCATACTAGTCAAGAAACGTATCGAATTTAAATTAAAAACATCAAAGGCGCGCCGAGCTAGCTTTAACAAAGATCAAAACCATGCCTAGCTTGAAAGTTTTGCATTCACAGAATCTTTTGGACTTTCCGAATTCTTGAAATTTAGAAACGCTGGGAAAACTCAATTTGACAGTTGAGAATTCAGACTAGCAGAAAAGAAATTCGAAAATTGAAATCTTAAAAATGCGAAATTTTGAAAATTCTGAATGTTCGAAAATTCGTGCTTTTTACGACCTCCAGACTACGGTCGCCAAATTATGTCCACCGTAAAAATCTTTAGAATTGAAAGTTCTGGTCAATTTACTGTCTCTACTACAAGTCAACATTTGATTCTGGCTATCTGAGCTCAATAAACTCTATATGCCTCAACCAGCAAGTGAAATGAAAAAAAAAAACAAGTTAGCGAGTTGATAATTTATTTGTAATGGACTTTTTAGCAATTTATTACAGTTGGTGAGAAGGAGATGGAAGAAGTGTAAGCGATACGAAGATCTGGTGTAGGACGGGAAGAAGATAGTGATGGAGCAGTTGGAGCTGAAATAGGAACTTGAGAAGTGCTCAATTATCTTGGTTCCTGTCAAAGGTATCAAAATTTTACCGGGCTTTTGGTTGACAGGTAGAACACGACTAGCTGGAGAGGTTGGATCTGAGGGAGCAGCAAATTGAGGGGTGAAGTTCAGATTACCAATGAGATCTTGGAATGAAGCCGTAGCAGAATTTTCGACTAATGCAGAACTACCTAGAAAAATGGATTCTATGAACGCTCGCTCTCGCTTCTCTGCTTCTCTTCTAAACTTTAAAAGCTCCTAGCACGCTTCAAAATAGTCCGTTTCCTATGGTTTTTGGCTTATTTTGCAGCGAAATTCCTCTCCAATCTTTGCAAATTCTTGAGAATCTATTAAAAATTAGGATTTCTTGATATTTTCAGAAATGACACAACGCTCAGTTGATTCTCTGAAGGCAAACGATCCAATTGCTGCGGAGGTCCGATTTCTATAAAACAATAGGTGTCAGGTTTCTTAGGACCATTCATGACTCTTCGACTTTCAATAACAACAATTTGTGCATCTGAATGTCACTACATAATGGGATCAGAGGGCAACACCACCTGTACAGTCTGTTCCCACCAGAGTTGCATTGCAGTGAGTGAATGGAAATTGGAGAAACACAGAGAAACAGAAACAGGGATGACAGTGACGCATAGGACAAGCGAGTCAGTCCTATGTCTTTCTTCCCACATACTATTCATTCTCTCCTTGAGACGACTTACTGGATAGACGTCTTTTTTGGAAGCTCTCCAAGAACCCTAAAATGAAAGGGTTCTGGAGAGTTTTTTTTTTGATTTTTCTAAGTATTTTCTCCCTTTATACTGTTCTTTAATATTCTAGAAATCCTCTATCTGAAAGGATTTCGCAATATCGATCTTTGGCATAATTTTTTTCAAAAAAAGGTGAGTTTTTTTTCTTAAAATCTGAATGTTTTCGAGTAGATAATGGATAATTTGAATAAACTATTATAAATGCTACAAAAAAGCTCATTCAAGTTCCTTTAAAATTATTGTATATTTTTTTTAATTCTACCAAATATTGAGATGAATACGTACAGAAAGTTGTCAGTTGCGTAATCGAAGTTCGAATTTTGTTCAATAGCGCTGAGTATTTTTCAGCCTTACCTAGCGGAATTTACTCAATTTTTTCTGAGAAAAACATATCAGCTCGCATTCGAAAATAAGCCAATTTGATTAAATTTCATTATTTTGTGGTTTTGATTTCAAAAACATGATACGTTTCCAGTATTTCAAAATTGTAAAAAATAAAGTGAAGGGAAGGCAAACTTATAGGACATCAATGTATTTTTCAAATAAATTATTTCAGAAATGGACACTTCGGAAAAACAACTTTTCAGCTCGAAATTGCTCGATCCCTTCAACTTCACAAGATTCGTCTGTTCAGTCTAGAAATGTGAGAATCTCATCTAGCCCTGGGTAAATTATTTTCTCCTGGAATCAATTCATCAGATTGGTATTTTAGGACTGTTGTCGACAAGATCATCGGAAATAAAAGTTTCAACACCTGATGCCTGGAACTTGGATTTAGGATGAAGTCATTAATTGGTTCTTCAGCAACCTTGGCATTGATCGATTCGATATTGTGGACCCTTGCCTTTGGGAAAGTATTCCTCTTGGAGAAAGGCCATTGGATTCTTCTGGTGTTCAATTCTTCGTCGAATTGGCATGAGAACAGTTTGAGATTCGACCCGCGTGGACAAAAAAAGACGATACTTCGATCATCCGATTCCAACTCAAAGGGATGTCAATTGTGGGATTCATGTCTGCTTGATGGCTCAATAAATGTTCACAAATCAGTTCTGGGACAAGGAGGTAGATGTTCGAGCATTCAGAAAAGCAACCAAGGAAACACTCAAGAATGAAGGATAATTTTTTTCAATCCCAGAAAGACCTTGTCGAAGCTTTTTTTGTGGTTATATCATATCTCTCTGTTTATGCTCATCACAGCCAGATATGTTCTTATACCGGAATTTGTTGCTGATTTTAATTTGATAAAAAATTGCATACCCAAAGCATTCATATTTTAATAGCATCGCGGAAAGGAACCTCGATTTGAAAATTGGCACTGAGCCAAGTTCTGTATCAGAACGTGTCTGTTTTGGAATAAGAATTTTTAAAAAATGTTTTTAAACATCTAACGAAATTAGAATTCCTATTTCAGGAGAAAATGAGTATTCACAAAGAACGAAATGATTGTTCTTCAAATCTCAAGTTTTTTGTTGATTTATTGGGAGTAAGGTGCATTCGTAGTTTCTCAATTATGTTTTTGTTCTCATTGTGTTAGATTTTTTCCCAATGTCAAAAATTTTAGACATATTGAGTTTTCTCTCCCGAAGTTTTCAGATTTTTTGTTTCGCTAAATGTAAGTAATAATGTTCGAATATCCAATTTATCAAAAAGTTGGTCAAATTTAGAAAAACGTCTTCATGTTTTAAAAATGCAGAAATTTGAGAATTCTCATTTAAAAATTTTTCGGCAGTTACTGGGCAAATTTTAAATCTCCGGAAAATCATAAAGAAACAAAAATTCAACTGAACTAATCTCTTTTTGGCGTCTTTTTTTTCAAAAAGTGCTCAGCTTATTTGCACGTTTAAATTATCTTGCCGCGCCATATTTTTTTTCTATTTTTTCTGTTTCCATATTATTTTATTTTCAATTTTTCTCTGAATTTTCTATTTTCTATTTTCATATTTTTCTAATTTTTCTATTTTTTTTCTATTTTTTTTCTAGTTGTCCTATTTTTTTAAATATTATTCTATTTTAATATTTTTTCTAATTTTCCTATTTTTTTTCTATTTTTATATTTTTTTTTCTAATTTTCATAATTTTTCATTCTTCATATTTTTTCTAATTTTCTATTTTCACTTTTTCTATTTTTATATTTTTCCTGATTTTCATATTTTTTATTTTTCCTAATTTTTCCTAATTTTCTGTTTTTATATTTCTTATATATTTTTTTTCTATTTTCATAATTTTTTTCTAATTTTCTAATTTTTTCTATTTTCGCTTTTTTTTTAAATTTACTAATTTTCTTTTTTTTTCCTTTTTTTCTGAATAAATAAGAAACAATTAAAATTCGTTAAATGTTTATTGATCAAGTTGTGGTGAGAAATTATGGTAAAAGAAAGTAAACGAGTAGTTGGCTCCTTGGCCAATTGGCGTCGACTCAGACGAGCGTCTCTACTCCATCCTGCATCTTCATGTACAAATCAGCCGCTGCGTTGTGAGCAGGGAGGGATTGTTGGATTTTCTGTTTCAGGGCATCGTAATCGATGGGCACGATATCGTTCAGTTCAGATATAGCTTCATACCAAGGAGTCAAGAATCGAGCGAGAGGGGGAAGCGTCTTGGATGGCTCACGCAACTGAAAAATGTTAATATTTGTTTCTTTAATATATTTTTCTAACTCACGAGCTCTCGCTTCCATTCGAGCCGCTCTTCCGGGGGGCACCTCAATTTTCGTGGGAAATCGAATCCAGAAGCGTAAAGAATCGCAAACGATAACTGATGAATGTCGTCTTTGGGCATCGGCTCGATTCCCATCCCAACTTCAAAACTACAGTACTTCATTACACTGAAGTTTGGATTGGTCACCCTATCGACCAAGTCTCCATTATGAGGAGTTGGAATCGACACGGCGAAATTTCCAAGTTTGATATCTGTATGTACCAATTTGAATCCATGCACAGCTTCGAGGCGAGAGCTTGCCAAGCGATTCTCACGAGAGTTGGGCGTTTGATTGCTTGCCATGGAGCTTTCTGGCGCAAAGACTCCAAATCTGGGCCTAACAACTCTTGACCTGAAAATATTACTCTATTTACTCTATTTTCGATTACATGAGTTAGTTTTTTTTTTGTATTTCAAACCCAGTGTATCTTTTCTGGACGGCTTCAAAACAATTTTCGACACATTTTCCGAAAAAACCCTAGAGAAATCCTATGAAAAGTTTTTGAGAAATTCTAGGATAATTTTCGAAAAAGTTTATAATGAACTTCTTGAAAATTTTTCGAAGAATTTCCTAAGGAGTTTCACGAAAAAGTTTGAAAAAAAAAATTCGAGGAAGTTTTTTAAAGAAATACATCTTAACGTGGTGGTTTAATTTTCTGGGCTCTCATTGTGAAGTGGAGTAGCCACCACGTTTAAATGTATTAGTTTCGTAAAATTCCTTGAAAAAAAGCTTTTTTAATAATTTTTTGTTTCAAAAGACACACTGCTCCAAAATTCCTATACTTTTCAGCCTACTTAATTTTGTTTGTATGAAAATCTTACCAATAGTATGAAGAATTCCATTTTGTGTAGCGGAAATAGTACTTGGGAGTGAATTCACGGTAATAGAGGCGCTGCAAAGCGTTTGCCTCATTCAAAACATCCGATGCTTTGATGGAAGCTTTAATGGCTATTTTTTCCGACCCTGATGACGATTCATACACCGCTCCGTAACTTCCAGCTCCGATCAATCTATTCAAGTGGTATCCCCGAATATCCATTCCAACAAGATCCTTGATTGTAACCGCAGAAATCATTCTGTAAAAAATCATTGAATTAGCTTTCTAGATTCAAAAATTGTCATTTTTCGGTTTTTTTTTCAATTTTTTCTCGAAAATTTTGGCTGACCTAATTATTTTTTGGCGTGACCTATATTTCAAAAAGTGCTGTCATTTTTTTCCTAACTATCACTTATGTTCCCCCAAACACTAGAACTGCTGTTTCATTAAAAAAATTAAATTTACCTTGATAATCAACTGCAAGAAGGGAAGAGAGAGGGGAAGAGCTCACCGATTCGAAGCGAAAAAAGAGGAAAGACTGATTTTTCTGAAGGATTTTCCCCCTTCATCGACAGTGAAACGTGGAAAATCACCCTAAATTGTTTTGAGGGTACCAGGTTTTAAAGGTACAGGTACCAAACTGGGTAGATGGGATCTTTGAGGGATGGAGATTCAAAATTAGATCAAATTTTTCAGTAAAGTAGGTCAGAGACGCTTTTTGTGCCCCGTAGAGATGAAGCCACCATAATGGGTGTGTGGGATCTTTGAGGAACAGGAATTTTTTATCATTTCGAATTTTGCAGGAAACTAGGTCACAAAATTTTTTTTGTTCTCCTTAGAGATAGAAATATCGTTTTTCGTCTTAAAAATGACAAAATTTATTTATCACAAATTTAAAAATTGAACACATTTTCTACCTCATCCTCTGGTAACATTTTTTTCTGGTTTTTCTGGTCACAGTGTTTGAAAGATCGACAAAAGGAACTGTCATCACAAGAATCACAATTTTCATTCTGGGTGATAGCCGGGCTCTCGTCGTTATCATACTCATCAACCCTTCTGTTTCCAATTTATCAGAAGGTTCATCGTTATTTCCGCTTTTTTATATAAAAAGTTTTATCCCAATCAAACATAGGTAGAAAGGAACTATTTTGAGATGGCTTGGAAATCGGCAATCTTTAAGTCTTAAGCGCAGCACCAATTTGGGAAAAAATGCATATTTCTGAAATTCTAATTCACTCTTACAATTAATTTCCGGGTCCTCAAAACTTTGAGTTTCTTAACTTTAGCATTGTCGAATTTCCGAAGTTACTAAACGGGGTGAAACCGGCCAGTAGGACGGTCATTCTTCCCCTCAGGCAGGTGCGCTTCGAACCACTGTTGGGTGCGTATAGCGGTGTAGGCTGAAGCTCCGTCATTTTGGTAGATCAAATGTTCCCGTCCAAAATGGGATTTGGTCCACAGAAGCAGATGCTTTTTGAAAATTCCCTCAATATACACTTTCTAGGTCTTATAGACATCTTGATCTGTGAAATTTGGAATTTGAGCATATCGCACCAAAAACTATCGTGCCGGCTGGGTGTGAAACTCTAGGAATGGTTTTTTTTTTCTTAAAATGTTCCTTGATATCCTTGGCTAACCCACAATAACTTTGAAAGTTGGATTCGGCTTCAATCGTGAACCACTGTTCGTCAAAGAAAACGGACTCCAAATTGTCTCCTCACGGCGTGCCATCGAGTCGAAATTTAGTCTTCTCCAGACGCTTTCGCTTATTGCTTTAAAACAAGATAACGACTTCTGAGACGCAATAACATTTTAGATCAAGCTTTTTTCGGGCTATCTTTTAAACTAAAAATCAAAACATACAGATAAACATGGCCAATTTCCTGAGGGATTGATGTATGCTACTCCTGATTTCATCTCGAACAGCTTTAAAGGGGGACTCCGACCAAAAATTTTTATTGCCTCAAAATGTTTCAAAAATCTGTATTTTCCTAATATTATTGCAAAAAAATTCAAAAAAAACCCTAAATGCCCGAAAAACTGCGTTGGAAAAAAAATAGGATTTGAATTCCGGCGCAGTGAGAAACCTAGGCCACGGCATCATATCGCCTTTTTTACATGTACTCGTCCCTCCTAGCAACTTTATTTTGAAATTTATTCGCTTTTAAAGATGGGGGGACATGAAAAAAATAATGTTCTCGAAATTCCGTTCAATGATGCCCCTCGAAGAGTTGAACTTGTGAGGGCGATGATTGAGGGTGCGGCGCCGTTACCGACTGAGCCACGCGGGTGAAGAGAAAGCGTCCGCTCCATTGCATACATAAAGGCGAGGACGACAGCTGTACGCAGAGTGACATTAAGCGTTGTACACAGTGACGGTAGAATGCATACTCTAGCTACAAAAAAACTACGGAAAATCTCCTGTCCCCCCACCTTTAACGCCATTATTCGGGGCCTTAGATTTTTTTCGAATTTTTTCGCTATAATATTGGGAAAATAGACAACTTTTCGAACATTTTAATGCAATAAGAATTTTTGGTCGGAGTCCCCCTTTAACCTCTTCTGGAGGTATCACCGTAGTTTTTCTTTCTCTCATAATGCGACCGAATATAGCTCCAGCCTCGGTGAATCTTTTGATAGCCTCAAAAAACCACATGTCGACAGTACCAATGCGTTTGAAGATCTCGTTTCAACTAATGCCCTACTTAAAAAGACTGATGACTGTGGCATGGTGGACGTTACGGCTTGCCATTTATCTGAAACTCAACCAATCAATACTGTATTTCTTTTCTCTTTTTTTCTTTTCCACGACGGAAGGTCGTAATAAATAAATAAATAACCATTCACATTTTAAAGTTCCCAAATTCCCAAAGTGGAAGTTTTTTTTTATTTTCAAATATGTTTTTTTTTTTTGAACTTTTGATCTTCACGAGTTCTGAAGTTTCGATTTTTGATTTTTGAATTTTTGAATTTCTGAATTTTCACATTTCAGAATTTCAAAATGTTCGAAATTTCAAATTCGAGATTTCATAAAACAATAGGTGACATGTATATAACTGCAATTCTACATTACACTACTCAGACTGCAGATGTTATTTTGTAGTTCCTGGCGCTGCGACGGGTTTTTGTCGCAGGGTCTTTTTTGTTTCCCTTTTTTCATTGAGTGTAGGTATTAAAGAAGCGCAGTGACACAGAAATAGGAGGAGCTTTTCAGAGACGCAGAGGAAAATCAATGGAGTCGCCGCTATGTTTCCCGTACACCTGCCACCTCACTTCTCCCCTCGGACGACTTGACTGAATAGACGTCTTTTCCGGGAGCTCTCCAAAGACCCTAAAAATGGGTTTTGGAGAGTTCCTTTTTCACTGATTTTTCTAAGTATTATTTCTTCCCTACATTATTTCTGGAGAATCTTCAAATAAATGGATTTCTCACCATTGTGCTCATCTTGCGAAAATGACACTTCTGCTCTCCATTGACGCATGCGAGAATTTCTTCGAGCTGGAGGAAGTTCCAGAATATGGATTCCAGAGTCTAGAAGAAGCCCAATGGTCCATTCAAGGAAATTTTGGAATAAAACTATGGATTCAAAAAGGACGAATGGTATGGACCTACGTCGGCTGAACTCACACACGAGGAAGGCCAATGAAAAAATCAATGATGGATAGAACGAACGAGGTATTACTTTTTTCAAAATCTTACCGTCAACTTTCACGTAATTTATCTCGATACCTGTGAGAAGTATCGAATCAGGATTAACTCCCAAAATGTTTCTCAAATCATCAGAAATATTCTAACAGTTGACATTTTTTACCTCTTACAGGAACCGGAAAGATTTGCTTTAAAGTGTTTACTTCTCAGATTAGTGTTTCAAATTCAATAAATTTCCAGACCTCAACTGGAAATCACTAGACAAAATTGAAAAGCAGCACTGGAAAGACTGCATGAAAAATTTGGCTGCTACCAGGGATGAACAAGTCAAATTTGGATTAATAAGGATATTGCAAAAAAAACAATAGCAGGTCAGGTTTTACTTATTTTTTTTCTTGAAAATTGAAATTTTCAGATCCATCTTCCGGTTTCTTCTCGATTTTCGTGCCAGCCCGGGAAAATTTCAATGGTTGCTCCAATTTAATTGATTTTCGATTCCTTTTTTTCAATAAAAATCTTCGGTGTTTGGGGCAAAAATGTGTTGTGTTCTTTGAAAGGAAATGTGACTTTTTCTCAATACCTTTACAATCTATTGGTCAGTCTGTCGTGTGATTCACGCAAAAAACAGATCTAAAATGAAAATAATACACTCACCAAATTTTCTTGAAAGTTTCTAGTCTTTCAGCTATTCACCGATTTTTGAAAGACACCTGCTTTTCCACGTTTTTAGTAGAAAAACTTGCTAAAAATGCGTCTTACAGAAATCGGAAAAACAAGCTGGAAAACTAATGATTTTCAAAAAAATTTTGAAATGCGAAGATTTAAAACTAGAGTTGTTGTAAATTTTCCAAAGTTTTCACAAAGATGGAAAACTTGACAGCCGATGTACAAACTTCTGAAAATAATCAAAATATAAAAAAAACACGGTTTAATCTATCTCATTGACCGGTACTGTATATATTGCTGATTTTTTTCTATTCATGTCGAAAAAAACAACCAGATAGCTGGACTTACCGTGACCAACTTCAACGCTAATTTTCCTGTCGAAAAAAAACAAAATGAGAAATTTTTTTCTTTGAAGCAGGTTTATATTTAGATTTATTTTTCGAATAAAATAATAATAAGGATAATATGATTCAGAAAAAATAGAAAATGAAAAACAAAGAGGAAATATATTTAATTGGAGACGTCATTTTTGCTCCATTCTGGATCGTTGACGACGACGGAATATTTCACCGGACGGACGGTACCCTGAAAATTAAAAAATCAATTATTGTTGTTTAATTAGTATGATAGCTTCGCAGTTTAGCCGAAAACAAGCTGAATGTCGGAGAATAAGAAAGACTCACGATTGTAAGACCAGGGTAAACTCCTCACGTCCAGAATTGGTGATCCGGGAATCAATTATTGACGAGTTTCGGTGGTCTCGATCCTCAAAATTTTTTTCCAGCGTGGCCTTATTCACTTTGGGTAGAATTCAGACTTTCATTCTTTCACTGAAAAATTAACGAAATTAAAAAATGTCTATTACGAAATTAATGCTTCAATTGTTTTACTAGACTAGAAGATTTGAAGCCTGATCCAACAAAATCTATATTTCCAAGAA